ATTTGACTGTTGGGGGATTGACTTTGCAGGACCTTTTCCATCATCATTTTCTAAAGAGTACATTTTGGTAGCAGTAGATTATGTGTCAAAGTGGGTGAAAGCAGTAGCTACTGTAAAAGCAGATGCCAAAACTGTGATAAATTTTTTAAAGAAAAATATATTTTGTAGATTTGGTACTCCCAGAGTTTTAATCAGTGATGGAGGATCACATTTCTGCAATACTCAACTTCAGAAATGTTTAGAGCATTATGGGGTCAAACATAAAATTGCGTCACCTTATCATCCACAAACTAATGGCCAAGCGTAAGTTTCAAACAGAGAAATCAAAAGGATATTAGAAAAGACTGTTTCATCTTCAAGAAAGGATTGGTCAATAAAGTTAGATGATGCACTTTGGGCTTATAGGATCTGCATATAAGGTTCCTACTGGGTTATCCCCTTTTCAGCTTGTCTATGGTAAGTCATGTCATCTTCCAGTGGAAATGGAGCATAAAGCATATTGGGCTTTAAAATTTTTAAATTTTGACCCAAAAGTTTCAGCAGAGCAAAGAAAAATTCAAATGCATGAATTAGAAGAAATGAGACTTAATGCATATGAATCATCCAAGTTATACAAAGAGAAAGTTAAGACATATCATGACAAGAAGATTCTGAAAAGAGAATTTCATCCAGGCCAATCAGTTTTACTGTTTAATTCAAGGATAAGAATTTTCCTGGGAAACTGAAATCTAAATGGTCAGGCCCATTTGTAGTAAGATCTGTGAGGCCGTATGGTGCTGTAGAATTAGAGGATCCAGCAACAGGAAGAACGTGGACAGTTAATGGGCAGAGAATTAAGGCATATTTGGGGGATGCAGTGAAGGAGCTTCATCACATTATCTACTTAGATGATCCTTAAAACAAAAAGGCGTCGAGCTGAAGACGTTAAACAAGCGCTCCTAGGAGGCAACCCAATGTTTTGAATTTGTTTTTTTTTTCTTCTTGCAGTTTAAGTTTTTTTGTGCATTTTTCTTCCTTAGATTCTTTCTTTACAAGATTGCTCCAGGTACACAGTGCACTTCTCCTCAAGACTTTGAAACCTTACTTCAATGGCCTGGGGACAGTCCAACTTTTCTGGAGGGGGTGAGAAAGTCTGCAGCTGAGGCTAAGGCACAAGATAAGGAGTACATGACAAGTGAAGAAAATGAGGGAGGAAACTTACTTTATTTTAGATTTTGAATTCCCTTGTTGTCCCATAATTTGTTTTAGAGCCATATATGAAATTATTGCTTATTGTCTAATTTAAATCTAGAACATGAAAAATAATTTTGATTGTTTCCAATAACAAGTGATTTTGGGATATTGAGTATGATAGTGAAAAAGAATTGATGAGGAAAATTAGGAATTAACTGAATTGGAGAAGCTAGCCAAAACTCAGGTGAGTAGAGTACCACAAATAGATAAATTGAGTGTCAACACTTTGTGATGATAACTGATATTGGTTGATTCTTTGATGTGATTACATGTTAGCAAGACTTAAAAATGATAAAGGCATTTTTTCTTTGTAGTAGATATAACCCAGAGTCAAATAGCCAACCATGCATTAATTATAGGACATCCATTTGAACCCCTTCTGAGCCAAAAAAATAATATTGTTTCTTAAACAGAACCCTTAAGTCTAAACACTATTTATCTACCTTCCTATATTTGAGAAAGGAAATGAGTATGAATGTCACTATTTTTCTTATTGTTGGGTATTGCTATTGTTGTCCTACAGGTATTGTTGGGGTGTTATTGTTAAAAAAAAAAAAAAGTGTAAAGAAAAAGGAAAAACAAAGCTTAAAAATTTGCAAAGCCAAAAAATGGATACATGCAAAAGCAAAAAAAAAAAAAAAAAGTCAAAAGGGGGTAATAACTTGTGAGATTATTAACTCATTGTCATTGTGTTAGGAACAAAAACATAAAGTTTGAAACCTGACTTGAGGAATTGTTAATCAAGAATCATTCATATGAGTTGAATTTCTCAAATATTTTTGTATATCCCAGAAAAACCAATAATTCTTTCTTAGCCCAGCCCCATTACAAGCCTCTAAAGACCTTTTGATTTAAGTCTTGTTTAACAATTGTTGATTGCTTGAAGATGATTATCAATATTGGATTGTCTAAATGAAGTGATTGAATGAGATAAACACTTACCTGTGAGAATTAGAGATGAGTATATATAACTCTATTTGAGAGATCATGCTTCTCTGAGGATAGTTGAGGACTAATTATTCTTTGTTGGTTTCTATAACGTGAATGCTTATGTGTTCTATTTTCATTTGGAGTTGTGAGCATCACCTCTGAAAAATTTTTTGTTGTGGTTCTAGAAGAGAAAAAGATAATAGGTGATGATTTTGTTTTGGAAAAATTACTTTGCTTGGGACAAGCAAGATTCTAGGTTGGGGGGAGTTGTTAAGTGGTAAAAAGTTGATATAATTATGTCTTGAATTGTTATGAAACCACTTAACTTATGTTAATTCTAATATATTTTTCTCCCAATATAGGATGAATTCGAGAATACCTTGATACAAAAGGAAGGAGCATAATTGTCAGCATAATTATAGTAAAATTGAAAGAAAGAAAAACGCTTAAGCGAATAAATGATGCGAGGTCCGACCCAAATTCTCTTATAAAAAGATAAGTTGTGTTTTGAGAAAAGCAAGCAGTATTGGAGAGGAGGAGGCACGACTACTGTTAGGGTTTTGTCCAATCTTCATCAATTCTACTTCATCAATTGGAGCATTGTAATGGCCAACATGAGTGACTAACTTCATTCTCTTAGGATTCGGTGCACTTCCTTTGAACTCTTTTGTATCATGGTGATATTTTGATATATTAATCTATGTTTTGATGTTGTTATTTTTATCCTTTATGCTTTGGAATGATTTATTCTTGATTGTTTGAGGTATGATTGGAAAATATATCTTGAACCCTAGATCACGGTAAGAATATTTGTTACGTTAATTGCCATGAATGGAATAAATGTATCAATTGCTTAACACCCTAACCCTAATGCTGGAAAATCTGTTAATTGTGTGAGGAATCAACATTTATTAGGTTTTCTTATGAATTTCATGTGTGAAGAATCAACATGGATGATTTAAGTAGGTGACATCAACATTGTTAGGTTAATTGACGTTCTTAATTGACATAGCCATTACAAAAGAGGGATAAGGAAGGAAACCAATCTTAAGTACCTTTAATTGATATTTTCTCAATAATTTACAGTTCTTTGTCATTTAATTTCAATTCAACTCTTATTTGCAAAACATAATCTGTTTTAATCTACTTAGTAAGCATAATTGGGAATTTCCATTGAAACTGTTCCTCGTGTGATCGACTTTTATTTAATCGAAATATTATACTGCGATTGATAATTTGGTACGCTTGCTAATAATTCAGGATGGTGTTATGAGGCGTGTGGATGGATTATGGATATGTGACTTATGCTTATTCAAAATTGTTTTAATTTAAAAGCAATTTGAGTGTCAAGATAAAGTTTTGCCTGTGTTTTCATGGTTAGTGGTTGATATAGCGCAGGAGACGGGGTTGAATGTTCTGTGAAACATAATCTTTACATTCATAGTAAGTATGAGTATAATTTTTTAAACAGTAAGTAAATTTCGACGCTTTGACTCAAATTGAAACTTTGAATTCAATTTCCGTGAACAAAAAAAAAGTGAAAGTTTGAAGAGATTTTAGTTTTTTTTTCCTACAGATAATATATTCTTTTTTTTTTCAATTCAAATGGCTAAATTTATATTTGTAATTAACTGTATATTAATTAATTTGTCTTGTTTTAAAATTAATTGAAAAGGATTTTATTATTAAAGGAAGTGTTCATTTACGAGCTGTACACTTTAGTCTTCGATGGATTAAGTTCGTTAATATTTTTTATATATAATATATATTTAAAAAAATATTTTTTTATTTATATGTTTAATTTTAAAATTTTATTTATTAATTAATATTTTTATCAAATAAATTTAAAAAATATTATATTTATGTTAAAATATTTAATTATAATTAATAATTTAAATATAATTTATTACTATTTATCATTTAAATTATAATATATTTATATATTTTAATAATATAATAATAATATTTTAAATATAATTTTATATTTTAATTTTAATATATATATTTTTTTAAATTGAATCGGTCTCATTTAACTTTTTTATTTATCCAATTTTAAAATAAAATAGACTAAAACAGATAGACTCCTAAGACTGTTACCATATCTCATCATTTTTAAAATGGATTAATAATGTAATCCATATGTTAAACTTACTAAACTCAAAATCAACATAATACCACATTATCAAAATTAACCTATTTTTTTAAGAATGTTGATTATGTACAGAGTGAATTATTAATTATTTACGATAAAAAATACATGAAGAACAATATTATTAAAAGCATTAAGTACAATATTCAAAAGACGTGGAGGGCATAATTTTCTGAGTATGTTCAAGACACAAAACATAAAAGGACCGTTCCTAGACATGTGTCAATCCGAGGGAAGAAAAAACAGAAGATGCCATAGTTCTATAAAAGTTTCTTTGAATGAATACCATGTGTAACTGTGTTTAACTTGTTTAGCCATACATGACTGATTTGATGTTTTTTATGTTATAAAGTGTTGTAATATTCTTCTGTTAGTATAATATGTTCTTTTAGTGTGTGGCTTGGCTGGTCATTTTTAATGAATGGATATAGAACTTTGAATGCTTGCTATAAATCCTTCTATTTTATTTTAAACTGATGGTGTTCAGGTCCTATGCTACGCTTAGACATAAACTTGAATTTTTTTTTTCGTTTTCTTCTGTGGTGGTGGATTGGATACAAATACCCAGGAAAGTGTCACCAACATGACTAAAAACCAACTATTTAACATACCAATGGAATATTTACACGGTGCGTGTCAAGTAGTGAAAGTAAAATATGAATTGTAGTTTCTGCTTCCTACTTTACTTCTACAGTTTAGGAGGCTTAAGATTGCCTATGCTGATGCTTTTTCTAATACCTGAAATAAAATGCGTGAAAGAATGTTGAAAAGTTCAATCAGCATATGTTTTAAGAAGAAACTTGTTAACATAGTATTCATATAGCAAAATGAAGACTTCAACTTCACGTTACACACCTGATGACTTCTTCGCTGGCTTCTTCGCTGGATCCTTCGCTGGCTCTTTTACTGGGGTGGTGGTGGAGGTCGAGTTTCCTGACGTTCGGGTGAATTTCCTCATCGCTTGAACAGTTTTGCGAATTCCTGATCTGAAGGAAAGTAAAACAGAAAACGAATCATGTGTACATTAATTTTAAGCATGACTACTAAATAACTGCAGGTGTTGTGTTAATGCATGTATATGCACCAATATCTAATGTTTAGCAAGAATGCAATAAAATAAGCATTGCTCACCGCTTCTCTGATGATTTTGGGACTTCAGTGAGACTGGAATTTTCCAAACCATCAGTTTCTGTGCATGGAGCAACACCACTATCAGAGAAATCACTTGATCTTCTATCAAAATCAGAATCTGTAAGTCCCAAAGTTTCTGCTGTTGCAACAACATTCTTTCCTATATCTCCCATATAATTTTCAGAGTGATGGACAAATTCATTTTGGTGTATATGATCGTCAATTGGATGCTGACTAGCATGTTCCAAATGAATACTACTTCTAGTTCGTGGAATTAGATTTCGCTTAACATTGCTACCAGCCGGACCTTTGAGGAGCTGAAGCCTCTCAATCTCCTCATCTTTCGCCAAAATAGTGTTCTTCAAAGAAGACACCTAGAAAGAGGGATAATTAGTTATCTGTTTTTGTAACCAACTAATTTCAGCTCCCTTGAACATATGTTTGTCTTGCTAAAAATTCAGTTTCTTGATACGTTTAGTATCTTGTTCAATAAATTTACACACTTATTTTTGCTTTGTTTGTAAAATAAAAGCAAATTAACATATATAAGATTGAACGAAAGAAATTCTGGTTCTTCAAGCTGAAAAGAATGTAAAACACAGTCATGCCATCATAATCATATTTGGTAGAGAAAAGGTAAAATACCTGTTCCATAAGTTCTCTGACATCTTTGCTCTCTTTGCTACTTCGTGCAGCTCCTAATTCAATTCCAGAAACCCTCTCAGCAAACTTTAAAGTGCTCATAGTTTCAGAATATGAACTTGCGTCTGAATTGATTTGGACAAACATGAGTGTCTTTGCTTGACCACCTGTGGGGAAAAAAATAAAAGGCAAGATTCAAAGATCAAAAGAAAGTATACATTGAAAAGATTCAAGGCATGTGAAATTGATAAATTATGAATAAAGATTTACCTAGAGAAGTTTGTAGAAGTTGAGTGAGCTTGCTGTTTCTGTATGGTACATGGGGGCTTTTCTGAGCAAGGGAAAAAATAACATCTCCAAGGGCAGATAGTGATTTGTTTATATGCTGTGCTTCCTTGAGCCTATCCCCAGTTACTTCAGCACGATCTACCCTTTCACTTCCTGCCAAATCTACCAAATGAAGATTACCAAACATAGTAGAACCAGTCTTCAAGTCCTTCCCGGAAACATGTATTGAGACAACACTGTGTACACAAGTTTACATGATGTCATCATAATAGAAATCTTTCATTTCAATGTTGAATGTTGAAGTAAGGATTACAAAAATGGTGTAACCTGTGAGAACGGCTACTTCTTTCATTCATAGCAGTTGCACCAATGGCTCTATTTTTAAGTCCAATGTCCATTAGCTTAATAACATCTGAAGGTAATTTCACAGGGAACAAGCTAGCATCTGGGACTACTAAGCCATGTGGTCGTGATTGAGTCAATATCCCAAGTGTGTGCATTTAAGGAAATCAGAGAAACAAAAAAGTAGAAGAAGAAAATCCATGCAAAGAATAACATGTTCAAAGTTATTGAAAAAAAAGGATATTTTTTTGGAGAACCATCTGTTATTAACAAGTCACGGACTTGCTCGTTATATATCTCAACCATTTGAACCCCAATCTCATACTCAGTTAAGCTTTCTCTACTTGAGGAAATCCTGAAGAGGTCATTTAGAGCTCGATAATTAACACCAATAGTCTCGCTTGTTGCCCCATTTGGACCAGTCTGAGAAAAGTTGTCATCTTATAGAATGAAGAATTCCTTCAATAGCATGATGTATGAGATAAAAATCAATATATCCAGAAGGTCCATACCATTGTATAAGTTTTCCCTGAACCAGTTTGGCCATAAGCAAATATACACACATTATACCCATCTAGAACTGATCTAGTCAAGTCTTGAATGTCGGAGTATACCTCCGCTGCATCGTTCAGATTAATATCATTAGTACAAAATTAGAATGTTGACAAAAAAAAACTTGAGTTGTCACAACAAAATTATTACACCTTGAGTTGCGGCAGAGCTGAAAACCCTATTAAATTTAAATGATCGAAGAGCCTCTTTTCCTTCTTTGGATGGATTTGTCACAACCAAATCATTTTCACCAATGTATTCAACAATAGACTGTTTTTCCATTTTTCCTGAAGCAAATGGTTTAATTCGACAATATACTCTGATATTTCCTGTATCATGAAAAAAGTGTATGAGTCCATAGTACACTTACACATCACATCAATAGGCTAGTAGTCACACACATATAATGCCACCTTTTAATTCTTGAATCTCATTGAACAATTTTTTATTTTCTACAAGAAGAGCGTGGTGGTTATCAGCTGCATGTAGCAGTGGTTTAAGTTTTACACCTGCACAGATAATTTACAATCAAATGGTCAGAGTTATCTTCAAAGAAGGAAAGAGGGAACACTGAAATAACATTCTAACAACAAGGCGTACCTAATTGATCCCACTCGTCTGCATAAACCGTTCGCTCTTTCATTAAACTTTGTTTAGTGGATTCCAAAGATAATTTCATTTTCTGGATGTTTGCAAATTCAGTACAAAATTGTAATGTTTGACATCACCAAGATAACATTGACATTAACACATTTGTAAGTGTACCTGTAGGGTACTGAATTGAAATGTTATGACAGTCTGCAATTGGTTCATTTTCATGTTCCACTTCTGATCTTTTGAATCGGAAGAAACCTCAAGCTCATTAACCTTATTTCTTAATTCTTCCAATTGACGCTCATATTCTTCACACTTTTGTTCCAATTCTGCTTTAGCATCCTTTTGCAACTGGGAGCACTGCACTTCATATGCTATTTTAGTTGTTTCTCGCTCTTGCTTCAATGCTGAAATTTCTAAATTTTTGTCCTCTAGTTCTTTCACCAATCTAAAAATTTCCTCATCATCTGCTGATTTTACCTCTTCTTCACACTTTTCAACCTGTATTGAAGGGCCAAAGAGCTCAAAATAATACACAAATAACATGAAAATAGTTTATCTAAGAATAAAACTTGAATTTTTTTAGTTTTTTAATCAAATTAGAGTTTTATCTCATGAATCCTAGTGACAAAAGTTTTGGCATAGGTTATCAAAGTGAAACTCGAGTATTGTTCGGAGAACATCACAAAAGCTGTGTAAGAAATTTCATCTAAATTTGTCTTTTAGCTAAAGCCCCGTGCTGTTGTCTTGTCTCTCAAAGTGTACCAATATATTGTTTTCCGTGTAAAATAAGAAACCAATACCTTATTTCTTAATTCTTCCAATTGGTGTTTATATTCTTGGGACTTTTGTGTGCATTCTGCGTTAGCACCTTTTGCTTCTTCTTCCAGTTGTGAGAATAGTACTTCATATGTTCTTTTGGCTGTTTCCAGTTCTATCTTCAAAGCTGAAATTTCCATATTTTTGTCCTGCTGCTCTTTTATCAACCTAACATATTCTTTCTCATCTACCCTCTTTTCTGCCTTGATCTTCTCACCCTGCATTGAAGGGAAAAAGAGCCCAAAACCCAACTAACATGAAAATAATTTAATTAAAAGTGTATCAATATGTTGATTATTGTGCAAAACAAGAAACCATTACCATAAACTGCTGAAACATAGAAAACTCATTCCAATTTCCGAATTTTGAACATATAAAATTGATCTACTTCTAAATTATCATACAATGACTAGTCAAAACTATTTGTGATACCTCAGTCTCATCTTTAGTTTCGGATGCAAGTGCCTCGAGTAATCTTATTCTCGATTGGTATTTTTCTTCCCGAGCCTTGAAAAGATTGTTTTGCTGAAGTGACAAGACAAGAAAGTGATATGAAGAAAATGTCTGAGAAATCAAAAGTAACAAACTAACTAACTAGCTTTTGAAAATAATGTAATGAACAGGACATACAGTTCGTAAATGTTCTGCTTGAGTTGACATGCGCCGTTCAATCTCTTGTGAAACCTTTCTCAACAAGCAAGCCACACGCTGAGCAAAAAGATAATAGACAATGTTTATGAAACTGTATGTGGCACATTTGTTGTGGTGCAAATCAATTGCATGGATTGAATACATGTAAACCAATTGCATGGATTATATACATGTAGTTTAATGAATGAGTTTATGTAACACCAAACCAAAGTCTCCAAGGCCATACATGAGGCATTTCCCCATTTTTTCTTTCAACACATTCTTCAAGAATATCATTAACAACACTCAGAAGAGACTGAGTTGGTGCATTCTGCAACATTAGACCCTGAAACATATCAGTCATGTATCAAACAGAAAAAACATGTGCTTCTACGCAAATGCTTAAATATCCCTGGAGGTAAACTTTAAGAACTTACATCTATATTGTGTGGTTTCATCATTTCTAATATATTTGCGGCCGGAAGATCTGCGTAACTACCAGGTTTCAGTTGAAACACTTCATGGAAATTATGACCAACATGGTGTATTAACGAGGCTGGTGACTCTGCCGAATATACAAATGAGTAAAACTAATTACTAAAGACAAAGAACACAATCTATATGGTGGGAACCTAGTGATGGTAACAAAGTATAGACAAGCAGAATTTTAGCAAGAAATTTCAAGGAAAATGCCTTCCACACAAAAGTTAAGATTTTACTTCAGAATTTTATCTAACTTTTTAGTAGTACAACTTAGGACTTAAATGTTCCATCTAAGGAAATTCAAGACACAGGTACGTTTTCTTGATTGTTAACATCACCATGTTCAGAAAATGGTATGCTTAAATAAAAACAAAAGGGAGTCTTAGTTTAAATTCACCGGACCCGGAATAAGTGAGGAACTTAAAACACGTTGCAACTTTGACCCAACTGGAGTCTTCTTCTGCTCCCCACCAAATGCTGGAGAACAATGAGAATGGAATGGTGAAATCACACGAGGGCTCACTGTGATGGAATTAATTACAGAAAAATAATCTCCCAAAGCATTCTGCAAACTTTTTTCTCTGAGTGTTAAAAGACAATCCACAACAGCTTTCATAGACCCCTACACAACAAAGGAGACATGACAACAACCCGAAAAGGAACATGAAACAAGTTCATGAAAAACTTATGCATCAAAACAAAACTGATGCTAATATTTCAATCATAAGGTTTTTACTGTTATTTAATCATTGACTATCGTATCATTATCGTTATATATGATAAATTGTTCACTTTTATGACAATTACGTCAAGATTTTCAGCTAGGATATCTTGTAAGGAGTTGATAGAGTAAACTTGTATAAAAAATCAACTCATATACTAGTTAATACTTGATTGATTTCAATTGTACAACTTCCTCTAAATAAGATTATGCATGACACAAAGTTAAACCTCTTATACCTTTTCTAGGTCTGATATTTCAAACCGAGGCAATCCCACTGCGTCCAAAGCTTTCAGAAACGATTTAACATTTTCTGATTGTGATGGCAGAGAATTATCAGGTTCACTAATCTACATAAAGGAATCCAGACTAAAAGATATATCTCAAATCAAGTTGCCAATTACAGTGAGAGTCAGTTAAAAGTTAAGAATTGCTACCACATTCACAATACCAGGTCGTAGCTTGTTCAGTATCTGGCACAAAACTGTACCATTACTCAAACATGCTCTTAATTCACCGTCCGTGACATTTGGTGGAAATTTCAATAAAGGAAGAAGGCTAGTTAACCACTGAACCAAAATCAATCTATGTTTGGCTGAAAATATTCAAAATGAAGAAGGAGATCACCACATGAATGAATACACATTACAAGCAAATTAGCAATAGGTGTGTAGAGTAACTAAGTAAGTCCTATACATTACCTTCCACCTCAACATTGACGGATTGGAAATTCCCATTTTCATTGGAACTATCAGATGAGAAATTCATCACTATGGCCCAGTCCTGAAGGGACAAGCAACTTCACATTTCCATGGAGACATGTTTCAATGGAACCCCCATTTTATCAATTCATTTTGGAAAAAGCTCAAAACCTGAAACATTTTACAATGTTTCAATTCAAGATTGTTTTCCAAATTTTACAAATTTTGAAAATAACAATCAATGAATATAAAGAATACCAAGAATAATGTCAATTCAATCCATGCATAATAGTTTTCAGAACCCTCTAAATTCTAATAGAATCCAAACATTCCCATTTGAAATGATCGAGCTTGTTGACCCTTCAAGAATGGGAAAATTTGTAAAACTGCCGCACCGGAGAAAGACAAAATAAAAGAAGAAAAAAAAGAAAAAGAAGAATGTGAAAAGTTTGAAAAGAAGATTATTGATGCATTGAAACGCGAGAATACAGTTAGACGTTCACGTTGAATCAAAGATGGTTCTTGATATTGAATATGAGGAGACTGAGAGACAGAAAATTCCATTGTATAAATTTAATTAAAATTTATATAATTAAAAATTATTGATATTTAAAAAATAATGTGATCATTAAGCTGGTAATGCATGTTTGTTTAGAAGTGAAAAATAAAAAAATAAAAAAATTGAGAAAGATGATAATAAGAGTGTTCCGAGAAAGTAGGAGAGTAACACTCTCTGCGTCACGATTGATCATGCATGCATCTGCACGTGCATCAACATAACTCCATGTACATGTGCTTAAAGTGTAAAAGCTATACCCTACACTGTTCAAAATGGAAAGGTTGATTTAGTAATTCAATTATACGTTAAATACAATTAAGACTTATTATATTCAATCTTATCTCGTTGTTATTATGAAATTGAAATTTGGATCAATAACTAAAAAAATTTAAGTCTACTTCAATTACAATTAAGTCTACTTTGTAAAATTGAATTTTTAGAAATCCACGGTTCAAAAGATACTCAGCCAATCTTTAGAGGTTATTTTTGTAAAGATCTTTAGAGGTAGTTAAAAGCAACATGAAATTTAATTATTTATCATTACTTTGTTTCATTTTTTATTTTTTTTAAATAACTATTTTCAGACGTTTATTTGAAATAATAAAACTTTATAGGTTTTATTTTGTATTTACAAAGGTTCTTTTATGATTTCTGTAACTTTAAATAAATTTTAACCAATTAATTATAGGTTAGTACCATTTCATGAATCTTAAATTAAAATTGACATGAGACTAAGTCAAAGATATTCCTGGTGAAGACCAAAATTATTTTACCTTACTTTGTTCATACTTCTTTGCATTATTATTTTTTTTTTAACAGAAAGAGACACACTATTTAGTAATACTTTTCCATCAGCAAATTGTTATATAATATTTATCTTATTTATGAGGTTAAAAATATATAATCTTTAATAAATTTTAATTAATAAGAAACAATGCATTCAAAACGATATTTAGGAAAAGGAAAAACATCTTCTTAACTCTATTTATTAAGATTCCTTGGGATACTCAGAAACGATAAGGAAAAACTATCTTGGTGGCTGGGGAAAGGTATGAACTTTCAGTACGTTAGTGGGAGGAAAAAAATCATAGACACAAATTCCTCTCAAATTAGGAAAAAGGACCATGCAATGCAATGCACATCATGTTCAAAAGCTAGTCCTATTAGACGGAAGCTAATTGCAGAAAGGGGACCCAGAAAAAGGAATGTGATTCATAAAGAAAAGTTAGGGACTGCATGAGTGATTGGGAGGGACCAAGTAGTCTCTCATGAGCCAGAACCTTATAAATTGAGACATGATGATATGTCTTCTGCCCCATTACCTTTTTTTGAAGTTTCTGCTGTTTCATTTTCACTAAATCTGGCCCATAAACCACAATTTTTTGGACCACTCATTGCTCATATAGGGAGAGAACAAAACTTTCATGTCACTGTGTGTCATCTACTGAGCTTATGTAGCTCTTGAGTTATCAGAAAGACAATTTAATTTACAAGTTATATCACTTATGACCATAGGTCCAAGTAGACACACATCTTGTTGAATTTGTGTATCTGAATAAAAAAAATATAATATAATTTATGACCTTACATGAGGTCATGACTCGTGATGATCTTGTGGTTGTTTCCTTTTTCAATCCAAATATAACACTGCCACTGTAGTTCTTTGTTGGGGTCCAAACCCCACTCATACAGCAAGGATCCATGATGAAAATAGAAAAGATAATAAACCATAAAAATTTGCATTTGATGTGATTTGTTACTTTTTACTTATGTCCATAACAAAAGTGTTTATTATGTCCGTAAAAAAACATCTTCCTCTCATTATGATGCAGTTTAGTAAAGATATGATACTACCATCTCTTTTCTTTCTATCTCACTCCAGCAAAGGCATCCCAATGACATGATGAAGCCAATGCACAGATTGAGGAAACCAAATATGAGAGATCATCATATATTCTTATATAGAGAAGTTTCAATATTTATTCATTATAGTAGAAAGTTGTATTTATACAACGTAGAGATAGAGAGAAAAGAGTAAATGGCGAAGTTATGAGAGAAGATTGCATCTTCTTAACAAAGTAACAAAGGAGTCCACATTTTAGAGTTAAGCAGGAGTTGGATTAAATTGATTTCAAATGTAGGGCTAAATCTAAAGACGAATTCTTGTAAAACCAATTAATTGCATTTACTATTCCAGCCGAGCCCTTACGATTGAGATGAACTTCAGAATCCCATTAAGCAGTCCATAACTTGAGAAGATTAACTATTAATGAATTTGTTATAATCTGTGATGCATTCATGTACATAAAAGAAGGAACCGAAGCCACCAGAGGATAAATTAATGCAAAATCCAACAGTTTCTCAACTTGATGGCATCAAAAAGTATTGTAATCAGCAACCTAAGATACTAACTAGGTAATAACAGCATCAGCATTGAATAATTGAATTTCTGATACGAAACAACAAAAAGGCTTCAAAAATTGGATAACCCAAGTCTGCTTAGAAGGAAGATCATCAAGTAGTACTAATTACTAAACCTGCTAGAGATATATATAGACAGAAATATCCCAAGCAATAATTCTAATAAAATTAATATGGCCCAGTAGTATTATTATTAGTTTAATATAATACAGGCTATATGTACGTACATATAGCCAAACTAAGTATTAATCCAAATTTTGCAGAAAAAGCAAAGATGGATCCGTTAACTGATTGATGTCATTGGTATGCAGGAAAAGCATTGGCTCCAACAAAGCATGTTCTCTTCACAAAACGACCTTTCATTCTGGGCCTTTTCTCAGCGTTCAACTTCCTTACTTCGTATCTAATCTTCTTTGCAAACAAACGAGTCCTTCTCTTCTCTCTGTACCTCGACACTCTTGCTTCTCTTCCCCCATCTAGGTGACCCCTTAAGCTTCTTACTTCCCCATCTACACCGCTCAAACCCTGAAAATAACAAACAATCACGTGTCAATGGTACATGATAGATGCAAGATAAATAGATCATAATAGCTAGCATTACTCAAAAAGATGAAAGGAGTGTTTTTTCAGTCGAGAGTCCTCCAATATCCGTTCAAAAAGCAGAACTTGAAAAACCTCTTATTTGGTTTTCAATTGGTTTGATTGTAAATTGAATTTTGTTTCAATTTTGTCATGAAATTTAATTTCAAAAAAGAACAAGAGGGACTTACTTTTACAAACTCATTTTGCAAAATAACATTAATTCAAACTTAATTTTCAAATTTTAATGTTAGCATACACACACGAAGTTATTGGAAAAGAGAAAGTTAAGAAGTAGTAACAGTACCAAGCAGAAGTCATAATCAGAGTTGAACTTAGGTGGGTGTGAAGTTGTCCATGGAGAAGAACCTTGGCTAGACCATGCAGTAATAACCTCATCATAGTTAAGTCTCAAAAATATGTCTCTCTTTGTTCCTCCTTCCTCTTCAACAGCACCATAACTCGCCGCAACACACTCCTTCTCTTCACGTGCATCTGACAGCACAGACTCAATGCTATTCCAATGAAAGGCATCATCATTCGTCATGTCAAAAACTGATTCCAGATAACACGCTACATCACCATCAACTTCTTCTTCATCCTTAACCTTCGCCATTGCACCCTGAACTTCCCCTCCCACACACGCACTTATTTCATTGTCTTCTTTATCAAGTAGGTTTTCAACATCAGCAGCAAACTCAGCGAAATCCATGTCAGAAAAACTGTCCAAGTCATCTGTTCTCACATCAAAATCGTCCAACACAGGCACGCGACATATCATCTGTTCCTCCGCCTCATCACTATCCACAGCTACAGGTTCTTGTTCTTCCCCTCCAAGCTCTGGCACCAGGGGAAGAACACTGCTGTTGTAGAAGAGAACTTCTTCTTTGAGACGCTGTTGCAGTGCAAAGTGCTTGCTGTTGTTGTGACGTGGGGTTCTTGCCTTGCGTGTGAATCCACTGTGCCATGCGTGCGTTGTGGTGGTTACCTTAGAGGACGCAGTTTGAAGCCGAACCCTTTCGTGTCTGCTAGCTAATTGGTTCGCTGAATGAACCAAAGTGTCGCAACCATGGCAGAGAAAAGCATCATCAGCTGCACAGAACCACCTTGCTCTTCTGCTTATGCAGCTATCGCAGGCTCGTGCTGTCTTGGCTCCCAAGGCACCTGCGTCTTTCATGTCTCTCATAGTAGAAAACCTTTGCTATTTTTTGGTTTGTTGAGTTTGAAATGCTAGTAACAATGGAATATTGAGGTGCTTTTCATTTATTTATTTGCTCAGAATCAGATAGGCAACTGGTTCAATTATTGTCAGTGCGTGTTGAGACTTGACAGCGTGGTGTGCCAGTGGGTCTGTCTTTTCTCGTTTTCTTTAATGTCCAAGGTATTTTCGAAAAAAATAATATTTTAATATAAGGATTTATCTACTAGACTGATTTTTTCTAATGAATATTCTTGTATATAAACAAACTTAAAGATTAAACTTCTCATCAAATGCTTAAAAAGACAAACTATCTGTTAACCATGTTACATCAAACTTTCTCTTACTCAATAGGGTGCTCTCTCTCTCTCTCTCTCTCTCTCTGCCCATGCACTTTTGGTAGTTTACTAGTGGAGGGATTGGGACCTACCATCTGGTCTCATCCCAGTGTTTATTGGCTGGAGATTTGATGTTCATCTCGTTCTCTCAACCTCCATTGGTTGCCTTTCTAATTATGGGATTTCTCATGGACCCATTTGGTTTTGGGTCTGCTACTCTACTGGGGATAGCGTCGTCTGTGTATTAAAATTTGAGTGTGACCCTTTTGTTGTGTTGCCTTTTTAATTCAATAATTCCTGGTAATTTCCAACTTGTGGTCCCCACCTCCACGTTGCTTTCTTCACCAGCAGTTGCTTTCCACCATCCTCTTGTCTTTGTCATAGAGCATTTCAACCATTAGAGAAGCTGAGTGGTGCCTGAATAATTTATCTATGATTCTGGTTAACTAATTTTTAACAGTTTTAGGGCTCGTTACTTCTGTTTAAGAAAAATCTAAACTATAAATTAAAGTATGGTTTCTAGAAATTTAGTCAAACTTTGTGACTCGGAATTTGTCTTGCTTGCTCTTCTTATCTCACACTGGTGGCTGACCTTTTTTGAACATCAAACACATAAATTTTAATTTGTCATGTCTAATAATTTTTATGTTTTTGTGCGTACTTGGAATTTAAACATTAATCTTATGGATAGGAAGGGAAAATTATTAATATATGTATCCCGATCCCACCAGCAGAGAAACTTTATGTAGTGCCTGCCAATGGTTTCAAATTTAAACGATGGTTAGTTCAATCACATTGTCAATTTTAAGATGCAGTATCAGCTGAGTAAGGTATCTTCTTAACTTAAATTTCTCTGCCTGAAAGGCCAATCTTGATGTCACAGATAGATTTGAAACTTCGAGTGTTGACACTTTAGGATGAGTCCAAAGAATAGTTCACCATAGAATTTTATAATTTTTTTGGGGCCAGTAAGTTTTCTTTGTACTAAAACCATAAAACTACAACCAAAGGAAGTTTAGAATGGACTAGTTTTCACTTAGTGACAAGTCATGGTTCGAATTCCAATTGACATTCACATTTCTAGGTGCTACCTATAGTCTATTCTATCATGTAAATTAACAGGGAAAATGGGGGACAGAAGCATGTACAGAACAAACTTAATGTTCAACTATATAATAACGCGTGGCATGTGTGGATAAAAGCCTAAAATATCGAGGAATCTAAGTACAACGTAAATATCAATGTGTGATTGCAGTGCTTTAAAACGATCATAATCGATGGAACAATGGTAGAAAGTTATTTTATGACACCTGTTTTCAGTCAACGTCAACATGAATGCAACAGATCGATCAGATATTGTTGCCAGAAATGGAGGAAAGGTATCCGTGCAAAAACATGATGCTGGTAATAGTTGGTAAAAGATAGCTTTCACTCATATGATAAACGTTTTGCTTATAATTACGTATTTTATCAATATTAGCGTTGTTGGCTTGGAATTGGAACTTTCTTTTGCTTGCTTTACAACACATGGCCTAAACCAGTACTACTTATCTTGTTATCTACACTTTTTATAGAAAGAAGGACATAAAATTAATATAGTGTAATCCTTTAAACAAAACTCGGAAATGGATTATTGTTCAGAATCAAGTTTTATTATGCCTGTAAGAAATGCATGCATTTAAAAACAAATTTTCTGAATAGTTATAAGTTTCTTAATTACCTCCTAAATATTAATTCGAATGAATTTCAAATTTACAAAACTTACCTTCGGATTTTTTACCAATGATATGTAGCTTCTAACGATGGACAGTGATAATTAAAACTGACAAATTGCTCCAGTAGCAACAACTTTAGACGAGTAACAAAACATATATAATACAAAGCAACATAAGTTTATTCTAGCCGATGGAACAATACCAAAAAAGAGAAAAACAATGGCTATTTGTACAAAAATTTTGTACACCAAAGTGAAATCATTTGTTTTCTTATAGGGAGGAAGGAAGGGTTAAGGTAGAATTGAGTACAAGATGGTTATTCTACGCTCAAATCAGAAAATTAAAGGATAAACTTTAACAATAAGAATATTGGCAGCACATTGATTAAAAATTGACCAAGCCTTCCATTGGAGGCACGAGTCCTCAGAGAAGCCTGAGAAACTGGCAGTGGCAAAGAGGGAGATGGGTTTGGAGACATTCCAAATGGATCTTCAGGATATGATGACAAAGGCCAACATGATGCTTCACTATGACACGGATCATCATCTACAACACAGGAACAAAATTTTAAAAAGAAAACAAAAATATTAGAGTGAAACTAAAATCAGTAATCCGAAACTTCTGCATCTGATCTTGCTCTGGAATAATAGAGATAAACTTGTTTACCAGCATAATTACCAGAGCACTTGAGGTAAGAAGAGTTCTTCATACTGCAAACAAGAATAACATATATATAACTTGTTAAAATGCTAACAACGTTAACAGAAATTAATTAAAACCCCCTTTTAAATTTTTGTGACAATTCAATCTTCAAGGCAACCAAATCGAACAATATTACTGTAGATAGAATTAATACATTGATTTTTTAGCACAAGTTTCAAAATTTCCATCGTCAAAAAATTAAGTTTTTTTTTTTTTTCAAATTCCATTTCTCTTTGTGGGGTACGTAGGCCAGATTCAGTTATTATGATGACCATTCAATTTTCTTACCTACTCAGAATTTTCCCACCCTTGTGGCCACGGTAAACACATTGGATCACATTGCAAGCTGTTGCTGAGTGCTCCACACATTCATTACCGATAATAAGATTGGATTCTTTGCAACGTAAATTATAGCAGGGAACATCTAGTCCAGAAGGAACACATCGCATCCTGGTAAAATTAAGAGAGTAAAATACCAAATTCAGACTAAAATTTTGTATTAAAAAATCAAAATTTAATTTGTAGCAATATCTTACGTGATATCCATTGGTTCGCAACTGCATTTGATGCAGTTGGTGGCAGTTAATGTATATGAGCCATTTGGAACTATCATACTCTCATCATACCAGTTCAAGGTTGCTGATGAACATGCTGCAAGCCACATTACAAGTCTACAGAATATTATGTCAATGTAGTAATATGTATCTGATCAATCATTATATATATATATATATATATATATATATATATATATATATATATATATATATATATATATCTTGGGAAAACTTCCTAATTAGGAAACTATTTCTACCACCCCTTCTGTTCCATCTGACAGAATCCTAAATTCTATGAAAGAAATAGATAAAATAATTGCTGTGTAGTACGTGTCTTCTTTTAGCAAGAGGAATGAATCATTTGATTCATTTCTTTTTACTATAAATAGGAAAATAAATGTTAACCATACATACTTCAATACAATTTTTTAATATATTTCTTATTATATTGGTAAATTATATGATAATCGAACTAACTGGAAAAGTAAATTATTTTTAAATGAAAGTAATATTTATAATATGAAAATGATTTCAAAGATATTATAATCACATTGTTAAGAAAATATGTCAAACTGTATCGTATTGTTGGGTTGGAGGATTACCAGTAGTTTTAATGTTCTTTGATACCCATCCATCCGTACTGGCACAAAGTCAGCTTTATTTTCATTTCGCATAAAAGTTTTCAGGAAAAGTGATATATATATATATATATATATATAGGAAAATCAAGTTTTATTTTTTCTTATCTTTCGTACTTTTTATATGATGATCATAGAAGAGAGATGGAAAGGGGCGTGTCAAAAAGAAAAAGTACTCTATTGATCGTACATTAAGATGTCAGCGATGGTTTTAAGACGTGAAGCTCCCAACGTCCGTTCAAAGACTAGTACTAAAAACTGAAAAAGGTTTTTTCAGTCTCAATCTTTCTCTTTAAACTTAGTTTAAAATGAAAGAAAATATATTATCATAAATTTAGAAATGAAGTTTATTAGTTGTGATTAAAACCTATTAAAAGCACAAACATTAATTATAAGTTTCAGTTAGTGAGTTTTATTTGTTATTTTATACATTATAGTCAATAAAAGAATGTGTCTCATAAAAGTATGTTAGACAGTAACTAAACCTTCTGTTATATTAAAAGTGAAAAAAAGAAAAAAGAAGAAGAAAAATAGTATTTACAGGTGTACAACACTTTTCTAACAACTGGAGTGATATTGATATGTACCAACCTGCAATGGGAATAGATAGAATGTCTCCGGGATCCACCGCAGCTTCCCAAAACTCATTTACAGTTTCCAAGTCTGAAATAGTTGTACCAAACTTTGATGCTATGCTCCGGAGGCTCTCTCCTCTCTGCACAACATATGACATGTAAACAGCGGTTCCCCCATTGTTAACATTGTTAAAACATGTGCATGGCAGTGGAATAACAAGGGTGCCTCCACTGGTCAAGGGGTTGGTGGCATTGATGCTGTTCACACTCTTGATTTGCTCACCACTAACCAACCCACCATAACCTTCTGATATGGAGGCCAGTGTGTCTGCTGCATGAACAGTGTAAATGGTTGACATGGACCTTCGGATGCCATCCACGCAAAAGCACGAGATGGGTATTTTCACCAACGTGTTGGCTCTGAGGATTTGGTGCGCACTTGATGAAGTTATGGGGAAGAGAGAGTTCGAGGCCAAGATATCAGAAAAGTTTACGTGGAAACGAGTGGCGATTTCGGATACTTTGGAGTCCCAGGGCAAGAGATAAGAGAGGAGAGAGGGGCACGAGTCTGAGGAATTGCATGGTTCAATGGTGGACTTTGTGTGAACTTGATATTGAGAAGTGAATAACAGGAAACACAGGATCTGAGGCCAAAGAAACTGCAGAGATGTTCTCATTTTGGAACCTTTTCGTGGATTGGATTAATGACAGGAAAGAAAGTAGATGATGAGTACTACTCCTTCCAGACTCTCAACTCTAAACTAATTGGACCAAACTGTTAGGTGAGTGAATTCTGCACGTGACCATTAATCTGTAGGTAATTTAACAATAATCATTTTCTAACACTGTTATCTAAAACAATTTTATCCAATTTTAAATTTTAAAATTGATTGACAGAATAAATATTTTATATGCTTATATATAAATAAAAAATAATTAAATAATTCATATTATAGATACTTAACGTATTAATTTTGATGTGCATGATGTTGAAGTTTGTTCATTGTAAAAAAAAAAATAACTCAGAGTACATACAAAAAGAGAAAATGTAACTGACATATTTCTTTGTCAGAGCTTACTGATATCGAAATCTATATTTTGTCTAGATTCTAGATATATACCTGTATTCAACAACGATTAATGGATCATTGATTATGTAACGTGGAGAGGGAACTCTTATGTTTCAATAAATATTTTCCGAATTTCTTACCAATTAATTCTTAGTAATTAACTGCATATGGTGTAAAACTGCTCGTCTTTTACGTTAATAGTCTCCAGTGTGCTTATATGCATAAAAAGAATGAAATGTTATATAAGATCTTACAAAATTAGTCTAAGGTTTAAAACCCAACCTTCCAATAAAAACTACGCTTTAAAACTTGAGAATCAAACTTGATCAATGCTAGATCTGTCTCTCTTTATAACAAATTTAACTACAACTTGGATAGCCCTTCAGCCAATTGTTTGATCTTAAAGATTATAGAACCAACTTAAGAGAAAAGAATAAACCCTAAATCTATTCACTTTGAGAAAAGAATAAACCCTAAATTTAATCATTTTAGAAAATAATAAACCCTAAATCTAATTCATATTAATTTACTCGACCAAACTTAATTCTACATCTACCTGTACCGACATGCTCAATACCAATAATGTTCAATCAAAGTACACACGTGTTCACAAAATAAAATTAATCGAAGGTGGAGACATACAATTTCTCTTGTTCATGTTGTTTTGTTTCTCAATGTCGTTAAGTGAAGCTCTACTAGCTAGCACATGCACAAAACAAACTAAAATGGTTGAGAAGGATGATGAGCAAAATCATTTTTGGCACCCTCTGAATGCCCCGATGCATCTCCTTTTAGAAGAGCCTTTTTCTTGTCAAACTCTTCCCTCTTTTTATTGTAAGCAATTGAAGCCTCTTCCTCGGTATTAAAAGTACCAAGCCATACTCGGCGGTTTTCAAAAGGGACTCGTATCTCAGCTGCATATTTTCCCCATGGTCTCAGTCTTACACCTTTAGACATGGTGGATGATGAGGTGCGTTTTTCCTTTTTGGTGTGAGGTTCTTTGTTTGACTCATCTAACATGCTTGGAAACTTCATCTCTACGACAAATCTCTTGTTGCTTTTAGTGTCTCCGTTTGATACTTCACTGTCTTCTTCACTATCTGTAGCATCTGGGTCAGTGCATGAAATTCGGAGTTTTCTTTCTTCAGAAACTTGTTTCAAAGATTCCATCTCAGAGTTTTGCATTCTAAGCCACAACATAAGTATGATCAGGGAAAAGGGTAAAAAGTAATGCAAATGGACAAAAGAAAAGTATGCAGAGAAAGGTTTTTTTATTGAACAGTAACCTAAAACAAAATTAAAAGGTTCCCTGCTTTTAAGTGCTTCAGTTTGGTTTGTTTGTGGTGGGTAAGGTTATGAATCCACGTCATATGATGGAGTCTCCTGGTCCTCCATATTGAGATCTTCCTGGCCAATCATGGTGCAACCAGTTGTTATACTTTTTTTTCTTTTCTGAAAATTTCACTTTTCTATATTGTATATATATTATCATAAATTTTTTTCTATTTTTTTCTTTTTATATTATTTGTAGTTGTAACATATTTGTTTCCTTTATTTTTCTACAAATTTATATATACTCTGTTTCTATTTCTTTTTATGATGCGAAATTTTGATAAAAACAAATGAATTTAATATCAGATGTTATTTTTTATTTCTTTTTCCATGATGTATGAATCCTATACTAACTTTCACACTAATCTCTCAAATCTTTTTTGTTCCTTCCAATCAAAATCCTACTTTAATTATCATATATCCCCTGTCACGAAACTTATAGTCAAATACAAGAATAAGTTGAAATTTATTGGATCTAACGATAGGTGTATGAAACCATTTTTAAATCTATTATTTAGATCGAATATACTTCCGATATTTGGCAAGATTTGTATCATCACTTTTAGCAAGGAGATATTTTTCAGTATTACTGATTTACGAGAAAGATTTATACAAACTACACCAAAGAGTCATGATAAAAATAATAGAGGGAGAAGCTCTCATGGATATCAAAACAAGTTTGCTTGCATAGGTAATAATGCCGTCTCTTATGCTTTTTCATCTCGACCATATTATTATCAATGTCTCCAACCTTCACGAAATCTCACAGTCAGTGTCTAAATTTACTGAAAAACACTGTTATGACATTCTAACTATTTTGCAACAATTCAAATATCTTGCGCATACAACAAATTCGGTGTTCACCCTTCAGTTAATTCTTCTTCCACTCTTCCTAAAACTCGTTTTGTTCTTCCAAGTAAAACATCTCCTTTGTGGTTTCTCAATACGGGTATCACTAATCATATCACTTTTGATTTTCATATTTTTGTCACTCATAAATTTATTCCACCTATTTTCATTACTTTGTCAAATTCGATTAAATTTTCATTTCTATATCTAGTATTATCATATTATTAGATTCCTTAATTTTTCATGATATTCTTTTCGTTTTCAATTTTCATGTGTAAATTTGATTTCTATTTAAAAATTGATCAAAACCTTATAATATCATTTCCTTTTTTAATATAATTCATGTGTTATTTTGCAACAAACCTCTTAAAAGATTATTGGTTCAGCTAGGTTATATCAAGAATTATATATATATATTAAATTTGTCTCACTCTTATCACAGTGATCATAATCCTATTTTTACCGTACCACTGATACCAAACCCAAGTATATTTTTCTTTACATCATAGATTAGGTTATTACAAGAAACACTCTCTCTCCATGAGGCATCTCAAGAAAAATAGTGGTTAGAGTACAGGATCCAAAACTATATATGTTGACCAAAAATAACAATTGAACAGTGAATATATACAAAAGCTTTAGGGAGCATCATTTCAGACCCATTTATCATTTAAAGTTTGTAGGAAGAAAAGTATAAACCCCAAGAATCCATCACTTTTAGTGTGTCGCCAAGAAAAAAAAAAAATATATATATATATATATATATGATTAATTTGAGCGAAAAATATATATAATAATTAGTTTATTATATAAATAATGATCATAATGCACCCCATCTTATGTAAATTTACACGTTTGAGGACAAAAACCACATTATTTACACATTTATATGGGTAGAAAATCGATTATCATTTATGTTTCATGTTATGTCACACTTCTTGTGGAATAATGATAGCACTTGATCTTGCAATAACAGTGATGGTTCAGCAAGCTTATGAGGAAGCAAGAATCAAGTCAGTCTGGTTTTCACTTCAAATCTCCCGATTTGAGAGCAGAAAACAAAGTCTTGGAAGTCCAGCTTCTCTCCTTCTATTTTAACAAAATCAGTTGATACAAATCACCTTCATTCATCCCGTTTCAACTTTTTCTTCATCCTCTGAAACAGTACATTTCTCAAAAACAAAGCTAAGTAATTTATTTTATGGCTACTATAATATTTAATTTTTAAAATTAAAAAATATTAATTCTCTCTCATTTCCACCATTACCACACCTAAACCTCTTTTCTTCCCAGCTTTTGGTTTTTTCCAACCCTAACCATTAACAATGTTAAGTTAATTTTGGAACTCAATATATGTTAATTCTAATGGATGTTCTGATTGAATACAGAGAACTCTTTTTTGCAGATTCTGGTAACCATGCTCAAATGCCCCCCTTTCCCGAAGTTATGTTTTTCTTTCTTAGTTTTCATTAAAGACAAAAACCTATCTCTATGATCTTCCTCTACGCACTATTTCCTTCCAACTTTGTCAACAAAATCACACAACTACAAAAATGGTATGGTCCACCACACCCATTATAGTGGTCTGGCTTTTGAGTATGTTAAGGTAAAAATTAAGGTAAACAATCCATGGAGAACCATAAGCAATAAATATATCTAAAAGAAAGTTATTAAAGAAACGTTGAAAACCAGAAAATAAGAAACAGAGTCATAATACCTCGTGATAGGAGGACTAACGGAGAGTAGAACGAAAAAGAGCAACAGGTACCAAAATTCCCAAGACATAAACCAGAGATAACGCTAGTGAATGCAAAGAGAGACTTGTGAAACCTTGAATTTGACATACTTCAACATGTGTAAAGAAAATCATGAACAAAGTAACAAATATAGACTTTGATGGTTTCCTAATAACAGAAAGTCTCTTACCAGTTGCCTTTATGAATCAATTCTGGAAGCAATCCAAAGCATGCAGGACAGAGAAAAGTTTGCTCTGCGAAATCTTTACTGCACAATCGAGGAAAGGGAAAGGTGTGTGTAATCAACTTAAGAGCTGAGCTCACACCATTCATTATTCACAAAAACACATTTTTGCTGTACAGAATGAAAGTATGATCCAAAACATTAAATTTAATATTTAAACTGAATCGCTAATTAAGAAAAAGACAAGAACTAGTAAAGGAAAGTTAAAAAATAATTAATGATTTAGCAAAACAAGACAACTGCATGTAAAGGGTTCTTCACCAATTCAAACTAACCATTCAAAACAAACGTAACTCATCCACCCTTCTCCATGGCACATTTTTTGAGAAATGCTTTTGAGATGGTTTGAGAGGATGAACAAAAAATGTTATCTAGTAGAAAAATAATTAGTAACAATTAGCTGAACATTAATTTATATAAATATTACATTAATATTTGTAGCCAAGTAAATTGTAATTTTTTAACTTTTCCAATTTAAAATATGGTTTACGAATTAATAATAGCACTTATTACATAAGATTTTAAAAAAATAATATAAGAATAGAAAGAAAGGCACTTTATGAATTTATATGATTAATAAAATTAACGAGAATCATATATTATATTTATTAAATATAATATATTTAATAAATACAATAAATTTAAATGTTTGTATATACTATATGCACTTAATATGTTATTTTTCATTTACCGTATTCTACTTGGATCAAGTATTAGGACAAAATTTGTAGGAAATCATTACGAACTTATCATTATTTCAGGGGTTAGATTCAAGAAAAAATATCTAGGTAACTCTGATATCAGGAATCTACTCGAACATTAACATTATGAATTCTTGATTTCAATTTTTTTCCATCCCACAAAACCGCCGGTTTAGTCTTTATATATTACAATCTTATTATATTTCTTGTAGAATTTTTTAATATATCAGTAGAATTTTTTTTTTATCATATTTTTTTATATCGTAATCTTTCTCGTATCAAAGATAGATAATCTAATATTATTTCGATAATGAATAATTAAATTCATTATTATTAACTGTTATTGTTTCAACGGAATTAAACTATTTTATATATAATGTTAGCGTGGTCATTTTTTAACTATATATATATATATATTATTGGTTACAATGAACTCTCATTTTCTCTTTATAAATTCTGACCACCTTCGTTCATTTCCCCTAGTGATATTTTTCTTTCAGTGACAAAACCAATCTGATTTATAGAAAAAGGTGGGAGGAAAGGGATTAATAGTTAGGCCAAGTTGGGAAGATAGACAGAAATCTAATTACTCATTCTGTCAGCGAAATGTCTAAGTCTAGGACCACATGATGGTGAGGATCTTTAGTGTTACCACCTATTCTATATTAAAATATATTAAATTTAAACTTTGATTTATATATTAAGATATCTAATTCTTTTATTAAAAAAATATATCTAATTCTTTCATTAAATCAATATATATAATATTTTTTTATCATAATTTTTTAAAATCTTTTTTATATTTATAGAATTATATATTTATAATTTACATAAAAATTAAATAATCAAATAGAATTATATATAAGTAAATTCAATAGTATTTTAAATATAATAGGTTATATATTCTTAGTAATTTTTTTAAATAATAAAAAGATTCACTTAAAAAATAATATATTTAACAATGAGTAATAAGATAATATTTACTTCCTGATTAATATTTATATAGGATTCATAAAATAATTATAACTCTGTTGATAAAATCAAACTAGAACTCCAAAATTAACTGGAGAATTAAATTTAATAATAACGTGTGAAATACTCTCTTTCCTCTTTATAAATAATATGATGAATTAAATTTTAATTAATATTCTTTGTCTTCATAAATAATGGATATGATAATTTATTATGATTTGTTATTTTTTCTTAAAATAATAATGATAATACAATACTTATATAAAGTGTACAAATTAAAAAAGTGAAAAATATAAATATATATTATTATTTAAATTTGAGCATTCATTTCCACTGAAGGAATTTTTAATTAAGGTGGATTAAAGCAGAACAAAAAGATATTAGGAATATTTAAAATGTTCTTCCCGATTTCTTTTTCCTTTTTGGGTACAATGTGTTGGTGTGAACGATGGAGAATGTAAAAGTGATGTTTGAGTGAAATGAAGCTTTACCAAAGGTGCCATACTGGATTAGACCCATATGTGTTTTTTAGCCAACATGATAACAATCCACGTACAATCAAAACATAAAAGATACCTTCGTAACATTATAAAGGAAAAATGTTTGTAAATTATTTAATATTATTATTTAAGAAATTATTATTTTATTGAAACAATTCTTTAATACTAGGATGGATGAGACTGGTAGTTTTGTATGAATTATACTATTTGTAGGAGGAATAAATTTTCCTCGTAAACTATTTGTATGAATTATTGTTTTACAAGTTCAGAATAATCTTTATAAAAATCTAGTTAATAATTCTGATTAATAGATTTAAAAAAATAGTTTATATAAACAAAGGACTATGTAGTGTGATTTCATCATGTGATGACCCGCAACACATGAAAAGTAAGAGCTGGTTCTCTTCTTAATAATTTGTCCTGTGTTTGGAAGACGGGAGCGATGGATGAAGGGGAGAAGAGTAAGAAGAAGAGAGTTAACGAGAAGAAGAGAGAGAGGTCGCAGAACCAGAAGCTGAAACTGGATCAGGAGGGCCCCACCAAGGACGAGGTCGACCACTTCTTCACCGTCCTCCGAAGGATCAAGCTCGCCCTCCATAACTTTCACAGCCAACCAAACGCGGCTAACCACTGGAGGGAGGCTCTCGAAGGAACCCACGTCGCTCTCCACCACCAACGCCTCCGATGTCCCGTCACCGGAGATCATTTTGACCTCAACGCCGCCCCTTCTGAGTCCGCAGACGCATAGTGTTGGCCTCGCCGGTGCACACACCATGTGGTCTTGAATCATAGGTTTGTTTTAGTTCATGGAACGAAGAAATAAATCTCTGCATTGTATTTTTATTTTATTTTTTTCCTTTTTTTTCCTGGAGGAATAGATTTTCCTCGTAAACTTATCTTAGCTGAAGTTGTAGCTACATGTGTATCCATTCTATTTTTATTTATTTTCTGATCCTCCTTTCTTGATATTCTCCATAATTTTCTTAATTTTTTTTTTTTCGTTTGATAACTATATTTCTCAACATACACATTAATAGATAGAATTCAAGGTAGTGAACTACTTAACATAATTCATGTAATATATATATATATATATATATATATATATATATATATAATTAAAAATGATAAAATATGAACATATTTGAATGCTTGTTTGATTTAATTTTACTTTTTTATGATAATCAAACAGGTTTTACATATATAATAATTACGTATAGAAATATATAATGTATAATATACAAGTTTAAAAGTAACTAGTTTAGTTTTATTTAAAAAAATATTTAGTGATTAAAAAGTTTTTTATATATATTGTAATTAAGAGATGGTTTATAATATTATAGAGTAAAAAAGTTTAAGGAAAGTAGAAACTGAATAGAAGATTCGTTTTTATCATCACGTGTTCCGTAGAATAGAAAGAAATGAACAAAATATAAATATTATGTAAATTAAGGGGTATTACAAAACTTAAAGCGTGTTCCCACAAGTTATAAAGACAGTTTCAGAGAACGTGTTCTTACATCTTACAAAAGACCGTTCAGAGAACGTGTTCTCATACATTGCAGAAGACCATTTCAGAAAACGTTATAGATAACCCACTACCAAGTCTTCCCATAACTGTTACAGACTTTCTTCTATAAATACTTCACACTCTTCAAAAACACACATCTCTTATATTATTTTCTCTAATCTTATTTCGCTTATCCTAGGTAAATTTACTCTTTTGAGAGTTTTTTGCTAGTTTCTGAGATCCTTGAATATTCCGAGAAGTTCATGTTGTACCCTGGGGGACTTGCGCAATACACCACGAATAAGTCTTTAAGGGCAGTATACACGCCTCAGGTTTGTCTGTGTCTCTGTCAGCTTTTACAACAATCTTAAGGACTTAAAGTTGACAGTACGAATATCAACAACTTCCTTCAACAGTTTTACAATATTGGATAGTGAAAGAAAGGGAATTATGAAGTGTTCATGAATCAAGGTTAGTCTTCTTATTATGATTTATGTATGTTATTATGTAAGAATCAATTCATGTATGTTATTATATGATTATGATTCATGTATGCTATTATGTGAGAATAAAGAATCTAAACTTTGAGTACATGTGATATCAGAGTCATACTTATTATATTTATGATTTTTCTCTTATGATAATTTTTAAATTACGTTTTTTCCAAGATAAATCCTAATTATGAATTTAGGATTTCTATATCATATTAACATGAATCATAATTTATGTTTTCTGTTACAATCAATTTCTTATTAAAATGTGTGAATGCCCTATAATTTTTATTGAAAAGACAAATGATGTGATTGGGTTAAAGGTGAATCATGTAAGAAATTGGTTTCACTGCATGTTATAATTATGATAAAAAATGTTTATATGTGATAATTATGATAGAAAATTTTTGGATCAAAGTGATGTCATCAAACACATGTTTCTTTTTCGGATTTATTACACCAATGGAACAGGGAAAATGAATTATGATGAGTATTATATGTTGTGAGAGATTTGTTTTGATAATGAACCATTAGCAGTTACGTGTGCATGGCTTGATCTACATATTCTTTTGTACATAAGAAAGGGTCAAGAAGGAAAATGTGAGCAAACGGGTGGTAGACTCTGGTGCTACCAGGCACATCTGTGCAAATAGAAGTGTTTTTACCTCCTACACTATTGTGGGGATGAAGAAAAACATGTTTATCTCGGTGATTACAGGACAACTCCTATCTTAGGAAAAGGAAAAGTTCTTCTACAGTTCACCTCTGGAAAAACTCTGGTCTTGAATGATATGCTACATGTGTCATTAATCAAAACTAATCTAATCTTTGTAGCACTGTTGGGAAAAGTTGGGGTTAAAGTGTCATTCGAATCTGATAAGATCATTATAACAAGAAATAATGTGTTTGTAAGGAAAGGATATTATGATCAAAAGTCTTTTTTGTACTTAACATGTCTGAGGTTGTTAATGAATCTTGTTCTTGTGCTTATATTATTTATTCATATGATATGTGACATTTATAGATGACTACTCTACATACACCAAAGTATATTTAATCAAACAACTCTAGTACACCAAATAACCTCTGAGAGAAGATATACTTACAGTGTTTTTTTTTTTTTAAAAACTGGTAAAACTCCATATGAGTTATGGAGAGCATCTACGAGTGTGGGGTGTCTAGCTAAGGTAATGTTACCCAATCCTAAGAAAAAGAAAATAGATTCTAAAATCTCTGATTGTATGTTCTTAGGATATGCAGAACATAGTACTGTCTATAGGTTTCTTGTCCTCAAAAGTAATGTAATTGAGCATAATACTATAGTGGAGACAAAAAATGTTGAGTTCTTTGAACATATTTTTCCTCTGAAGGTTAATGAGACACCTAAACAATATATAGATATTAATAGTGATAAAATATGAGGATTTGAGGAGAAGTAAAAGACAGAGGAAGGAAACCTATAGGCCATTAAGACTAGTAGGGTTTCTGATGCAATACATTAGGATAAGGTCATTAAGACTGAAATTGATTCAATTAAGAAAAATAATACTTGGACTTTGCTAGATTTGCCTAAAGGAACAAAACCTATTGGTTGTAGGTGGATCTTTATGTAAAAGTATTATCCTGATGGATTCATAGATAAATATAAGGCAAGATTAGTAGCAAATGGTTTTACTCAAAAATTCAATATTGATTATTTTGACACCTTTTCCCCTGTGACTAGGATTTCCTATATTCAAGTTTTGTTAGCTCTAGCAGTTATCCATAAGCTAGTTATACACCAAATGGATGTTAAGACAGCCTTTTTGAATGGTGAATTAGAGGAGGAAATTTATATGACTCAACCTGAATAGTGTGTTGTTCCAGGTCAAGAAAACAAAGTGTGCAAACTTTTAAAATCCTTATATGGATTAAAATAAGCACCAAAATAATGGCATGAAACACTTGATAGTGTTCTACTTTGTAATGGTTTTTCAACTAATGATGTTGATAAATGTGTGTACTCTAAAATTGGGAGTGGTGAATGTGTCATTAGATGTTTATATATAGATGACATGCTAATATTTGGTACATGCATTGACATTGTATCCAGAATTAAGTTGTTTCTGGGATCTAAATTTGAAATGAAAGATATAGGTGAAGCCAATGTGATTTTGGAAGTTAAAATCATAAGGAAGGGTAATAGTATTTTTATATCCCAAGAACAATATATTGAGAAACTTATTAGGAAGTTTGTACGTTATAACGTTAGACCAGTGAATACATATTACGACTCTAACTCTAAGTTAAAAAAAAATAGAGGAGACTCAATCTCTCAACCTTAGTATGTTCAGGTAATTGAGAGCTTACTGCATTTAATGAGCTTTTCTAGACCTGACATTGTTTATGCAGTAGGTAGACTGAGTAGGTACACTCAATGTCTTAATCAAGAACATTGGAATGCACTTACAAGACTTATGAGATACTTAAGAGGTTCAATGGATTATGTCATTGAATATAGTGGATTTTTCGTTTTACTAGAAGGATACAGTGATGCTAACTAAATCTCTGATTCAAATGAGACAAAATTCAATAGTGGTTATGTATTCACAATTGGGGTGGTGCGATTACATGGAAATCAGTCAAGCAGACAATTATTGCAAGATCAATAATGGAGTCTGAATTTATTGCTTTCGATATGGTTAGGTAGTGAAGCTGAGTAGTTGAAAAACTTCTTAGTAAATATTCCATTAGGAATGAAACCAACCTCATCTGTATCAATATAATGTGATTGTCAATCAGCAATAGCTATAGCTAAAAATAAGAACTACAATGAAAAAAAACAGACATTTACAATTGAGACATAATTTAGTGAAGCAGCTGCTAAAGAATGGAACAATTTCCATTGTGAAGTCAGAACGGAATCTAGCAGATCCTCTGACAAAACCCTTAGCGAGAAATATGATTTTAGAAACATCGAGGGGAATGGGACTTAAGCAACTTGCAAACAAACAGGTGATGGTAACCTAACCTCTGTGATTGGAGATCCCATGAATAAGGTTCATATGGGTAAAAATAAGTCACTTGTTAGTTCTGCTAACACTAAAATTGATTAAAATCAATTATGTTCATTCCTATGGTGTATATGTGAAAGTGCTAGACACTGCATCATTGAGAGGTTAAACTTTGTAATTAAAATTCTATGTGGCGTACGAATTTTAGTTTAAACAAAGTTTTTAACGATTTCATATCCCTTAAGGGTGGTGTATGATTTGCAGCATACGCTTGATGAAGTCACCTATATGAGTGTCGAGTGAGTCCGCTTGTATGAGATCTTTGCAAAATTTCTATAACACTCATGAATAGCGGGCACGCGCATGGCCTAATAAGCGCAATACAACGATAACAGCAAAAATTGTGAGGTGTATTATGATTGTTAAAACCGCTAACACACATTAAGTGTTTTGGTTCATATAGCTTGTTATACCAGCTCTGATGCATTACATCTTATATGAGACCCATAATTTTCTTCTTTTATTCCTTTATCTTCTTTTTTGTTTTACAATATGTGAAGGATTGTTGTAAATTAAGGGTATTGCAAAACTTAAAATGTGTTCTCACATGTTATAAAGACCGTTTCAGAGGACGTGTTCTCACACTTTGCAGAAGATCGTCCAGAGAACGTGTTCTTACACATTGCAGAAGACCGTTCAGAGAACGTGTTCTCACACGTTACAGAAGACCAGAAAACGTTACAGATAACGTTTC